AGGAGATCAGGTTGAACTTTTTTTGAATTCCAACCATCACATGTATTTTGATAAAATTTAAGAAGTTTTCACAAGCTCTTCTGTGCCTTGAGTAAATACTTAACTTGCTACAAAATTATTTCCGGTATTTTTTCTGGGAATAATATTTGCATTTAATGCTCTGACTGTGAGTAGTAATTACTAAGGACTGCGCTTTTTTACCGTATTCTGATTTGGATCATTGCGTTTTGGAAGCTTTGTTCTCTCTCTCCGTTTCATTTCCGTTTGATACAGTATTTGCTTTATGTCCTGTCCCGAAATATTGTGTGAATAGTCAGGGCGTCCTCGTGCTCTGCCCCAGAAGCAGCTGCCTTTTGATGCTGGGTGAAGCTTTTTGTGGTGTATAAAATCCCCATCCGTTTCATGGGGTTGCTCTGAATCATCCTAATTAAATTTAAGGCCGTAAAAAGCGTGTCTCGCCTCAACCGTATTGAAATCAGATGAAGAGTTACAGGATTAACTTTCCTGCATTTCCAATGCGCTTACTGGTTTGGGGCATGGCGGGATTTCAGCGTATAAATAAGATTTCTGGCTGTGGAGCGGGGCAGGGCGCTGCCTGCGATGGTCCCGGCGGGTTGCAAAGGCCCTGTGAGTTCTTCCCTGTGTTGTGTCCCCAAATCCCAGAGTCCCCGTGCTGGAACCAGTCAGGAACCACTTGGCCACGTGTTTACGAGCCTTAAAATCTCCTGTGGTGCAAGAGCTGACCTTGTGTCTCTGCCTCAGTCTTATTTCCAAGCTTTCCTCACCAGCTTTCTCATATCAGCTCGCATTTTCCTCCCCAATTCGTTCACGTTCTTCGTTGTAACCTTTATTCTTCAAAGCCTTTGTCTGGCTGTAGACTCAAATCTCCCTGCATCCCAGGTGTCACATCCCGCTCCTTGCTGGATAGACTTAAGAGTTCATCTGGTCCAGAAAATATTGCACTTCTATTCTTAAGGAAAAAAAAAATATTGGAGGATCAACAATTTCGATGAGAGTCTGCCTGTAGGTAGTGGGGCACCTTAAAAGTCTCAAGTGAAGCAGGAGTTTGTGTATTTTGATGCTTTGCTCGGGGGATCATGGAAAAATGAATGTGAAGTGTATAGATGTGATTTTTTTCATAATGAGCATAATTAGGGAAAGTGGAAAAGCCCCGCTCTTGTTTAATTGCAATAGTGGGCTTCCAGGCTCATTTAGAGCTGGAAAATTCTGTTAATTCTTCAGAAGAAGAGATCAGAGTATGACTATCCGGTTAATTTTTTGCCTTCGTTAAGACACAGAGAACTAAAGTTCAGTGTGATCTCCTCTGTCCTTGCCTGAGCTGGGAGCTCAGCATCACCCAGTGCCGTAACCCAGAAAGACGCCGCGTAAATTTTTTTCCCCAGTTGCTAAAACCCTGTGGACTTTTTCTTTGCAGGCCCTCCATCCGCTCCCCAGAACCTGATTTCCAACGTCAACGAGACGTCGGTGAACTTGGAGTGGAGCCCCCCCCAGAACAAAGGTGGCCGAGAAGACATCTCCTACAACGTGGTGTGCAAGAGGTGCGGCGCCGGCGACCTCGGCCGCTGCCGGTCCTGCGGCAGTGGGGTGCACTTCAGCCCCCAGCAGAACGGCTTGAAAACCACCAAAGTTTCCATTACTGACCTCCTGGCACACACGAACTACACCTTTGAAGTCTGGGCGGTGAATGGGGTGTCCAAACAGAACCCCAGCCAGGACCAAGCTGTGTCGGTCACTGTGACAACTAACCAAGCAGGTAGGAACCCAAACACCAATTCTCTTCCTCTCTCTTCTGCCTCTTTTGTGGGACAGCTGTGATTTCCATTACATTGTGCATTAGCAGCGACGGTGAGAGCCCTAAGATGCGTAACCGGGTCAAACCCTTATTTTCCGGTTATTTATCTGGCTAGTTTGAAACACTAGAAAAGCAGAGGAAGGGTTGACTCCCATAGCCGGGAGCTGAGCTCCCAAAATGGGCTGCGTGAGATTCCAAAAGAGGAATGAGTTGGTACTGGCTTGCCTGCCCCTGGCTCTCTCCTCTCCTGCAAAGTCAATTAGATTCTGTCCCATTATTAAATAAATACCTCCCTTAACCTGCTGCTAACAACGTTTGAGTTGATCAGAGCCAGCCTGACTTCGGAAATCCTCAGTGAGCTTTCATCCTCTTGCTGGCTGATTTTTGTGTTTCGCTCATCTGGGAGAGCGAAATATTATTTCTGTAGCTTATACCTGATTATTTCAGATACCCTGGGCACTTCTGCTCTTTTCAGTGCCCTCTGCTTGACCTTGTAAAGGCTGCAGCCGCAGGTTTTGATGATCATTTGTATGGATTTTTTTTCTTTAATTACACAAAAACATGTCTTGTTTGCAGCTAAGCTAGAGCTTCAAGCGCAGCGCTGCCGCTGAGTTTTTCATTTGATGCAAAAATTATATACATTTGAATATGATGCTCTTCTATATGCAAATTAGATATCCAGACTGTCAGACTGGGTAAAGGACTGTCAAACCTGTTACCTTGATTGCCTTCAAGTCCCACAGATGTTGCAGGAGTTCAGCATCCTGGGGCGTAGCTTGCAGGGTTATCGTTTGTTGTAAGACTTAATGGTGTACGGGCAAATATTAGTATTGCACATTCACATTTTGATAGTACTGGGCTCCAGAAATATTTGGAGTTCTGTTTACCGGTAGAAATAAGTATGCGTCGTCCAAATCTACAAATTTTAGCCGTGGTCCAGAACGCTTCAAGATTAACAGTGGGAGATACGTTCAATTTTGTAGTGACAGTTACAAGCAAAATTGTCAAGTCCACGCCGAAGCTCCTTTGAAAAAATTTTGTCCGGCCTTTTTTTGTTTCTTGCACATACGATTGACAGCATCGCTTTTAAATTACGATTCAAAAATTCAAACTATCGCTTTGCCTGGTGAAAAGGAGACTAAGGGATAACAGGGGCTATTACAGAGGCTTGGGGGAAAGCTGTGGGAGAATGCTGTCATACGCCGTACGAAAAGAGGAGGTTGGGGACAGTTTTTGTGCTATGAATGCCTAGCAAAGAGAGTTTTTCTGACTGATTTTGGCATGTGTAAGGATTCGTGGATGCATATATGCATGATTAAGTGAGTGGGATCCATCTACCGTGTGAAAATTCTCCCATCTTCCGCTTGAATATGCAAACCGAAATCTGATTGAATATGCAAATAAGAATTGATTTTGTTTATTATCCGTGAGTAGCAGTTCTTCATTCACATCAGGAAATTTGCAGTTTTGCCAGCATTTCCAATCTTGAAACATGCCCAGTCTATCAAATGCTTCAGGGGGCCGGAGAAAACTGTATTCGTACAAATGGAAATTAACTCCAAGGTGCCGGAGTTCTCCTGTTCTTCTAGGACTTTGTGTATCGTGTTGCATAAAAGATCTAAGTAGAAATGTGTGGCCTGAACCTGCAGATCTCAGCTGAGATAAATAGTCCTTACAGATGCAAATAATCCTCATTGATTTCAGCGGAACTGCTTGCTTGAGTAAGGGTTTGTAAAGTTGGACCCTTGGGTTTTACGAGCACCAGTCTGTTTAATCATCATCAATGTGTGTCTGGGGTGCTTTCAAATTCTCGTGCCACTCATTTCCTGGCGCTATATTTCATTATAAAGAAATCATGTCGTGGTAGAGCACTGCCACAGGCTTGGTTTTGGTCTCACACCTTTCTTACCCTAATGCAAAGCCACCTTGGTTTCTTTGCAGCGACTTCGAAATTCAGATTAGAGCCAAGCTCCTCCTTTAATAACACTTTTCCCTGATTTTGCTAGGAAGAAGGAAACTACCAACACTGACAATCTCTAAATGGCTTTATTGGTTTTGCTAGCTATGCTTGTGCTTTCCAACAGCTGATGGGAATTAAAAAAAAAAAAAAGTGGTTAATATGGTTTTTTAGATACGAGCGATACTTTTGGGTTGGGAATTTGCTGGATTTCTTTGCAAGACGTGGGTCTGTGAGTTAAATTCAGTAGAGACCGGGAAACCCTCTTAACAGCAGTCTCAAAGTGACCTTTGGAATTTGCAGCCATATAATCTGAAGGAAAATACCCAGAAAACTTAGGACAGGATCAGAAATTCAAGGATTTGTGTGTTTGCCTGCGTTGGTGCCCGCCCCTGGAGAAGGTGTGTGTTTGGAGACGGACGGAAAGCGGTGAGAAATCTGTTCCTGGTCTATTCAGCACAGAAAATGCCTTGCAGTGACATAAAAGGTGCAGCTGAAAGGCACAGGTGGTTTTTTTGTTTGTTTGTGGCGTTTTATTCCTGGAGGTAGCGAAATGAGACAGTTTGCTTTCACCTTTAGTTTAGAAACCCCTCAGTTTCCAATACTGTAGAAAAATATTTAAATGAAAATAAGCTTTTGCCATTCGGAGTAGGATCAAAAAGCATTGGGAAAAATACTTTGCCTGCCTCCTTTGAAAAGATCATGGGTTTTATGGCTTTTTTTAAAAATTATTATAAGAGAGAAGCTGAATTTCGGGCTTTGAACCACATAAAAATTTCTGTCTCCCAGTGAAATGCGTCAATGCTGTGATGTTTCAAGAATTTTGAGTGGTGAATTCAGCTCACTATTCTGCATTTTTGACTTTTTTGAACTGGGAACCACCAAAAAAGAGATTTTAAAAAGTGCAAAAGATGGATCACTGAACTTCTGAATCGTGGAGCCAGTGCCCTTAGCACAGCAAGTACTGGGAGATGCTGGTATTGAGGGTCTCCACCAGCAGTGGTGGCCCTGGTGACTTTTTCTTTCCCAATAGAATGAAATCAGCACTTTGTCCATCTTTTAAAAACGCGAACTGACTCGGGGGAGAGATGCAAACCAGCAATTCTCATCCGATGCTGCTAGGAGAAGCTCATTTCAATGAGAAACTCCACCAGGCAGTTGACTGAATAGCTCCAAAATCCCCAAGCTCTGTCGTTTGTGGTTTTTTTTACTGCTAAGGCTAATGCTGCGAAGCTCTTCAAAATTAAAAGTAAATCTCTCAATAAAGGGACTTTGTTCACAGCAAGCAGGAAGCTTTGGGGTTTCGGTGTTGGTTTTTTTCCTTGAAGAGGCGCTGAACAGTTTATATTTTTATTAAATATTACAGCTGAGCCCTGGTCTCCAACCTGACACCGCTAAGTTCATTTCTGTGCGTGTCCTGATCCTGATCTCGGGGATGGTTGCTTTGTGAGTTAGAAATTCCGACGCGAGGAAAGAAGCGGGAGCTATTTGCTTCCAAATGGACTTTTTTCTGTGAGGGAATATTATCTATTCCCATTTTGCATTTTGGTGGGCTCTTCTTTGAAAGCTCACATTTCCTTTCAAATGCTGATTAGCATTCCCGGCGCGTTGTACGGAACAGCACAGAAAATGCATATAAGGGTCTTATATTCTGCCAGGGCAGAGCTAAACGTGCATATAAATATATATATATA